AATTATTANTCAAAATCACTGACTTCAGTATATACCTAGCAAGAACAACGATCTCCTGCTAACAGTGGCGCCGACTAGCGGCAAATATTGTCTCTAGCTAAGTTTGAACTATTAGTCGAAAGACCAGTTAATCTACCGACTCTGACGTTAGTAATAGACACAGGATACATAAAGACGATAGTGAAAACTGAAATGTAATTTGTGCATTCTAATGAACAATGATGGATATGTACAAGGTTCCTACACACCTGGAAAATTAGGGATTTTCATTAGTGTTCAGAGAAAGTCATGGAAAGTCAGGGAATTTGTCTCCTTAGCTCCCTTGTTGATTTTGTTTGCTGAATATGGCTGACCAAGTGTAACCATCAGTGTAACCATCAGTGGCAAGAGGTAATGCTTCAATTTTTAATCAATCAATAAGCATCAATCATCAATATTAATATATATTATAAAAGTAAGTGTACAATGTGCGTGCCGCTAAAACTCAAAAACAAGTCCTGGTACGATCAAGGGAGTTATATGGTGTGGTAGCCCTCTATCCCCCATCCATGAAGAAGGTTCCTGTTTTTACCTCAAGGCGTGCTGTTGAAGATTGAATGGCTGGAAGTTTTGCCCTCTGGAAGTTTCTAGAACATTTGAGAGCATTCCACAACATTCCAGAATATTCTGGGATCTTCTGGAACGTTTTGGGAACATACCAGAACATCCCAGATCATTGTGGAACATTCCAGAACACACTCGAATGTTGTGGAATATTCTGGAACATTGTGGACCATTTGAAGCTTTTTTTGTATGGGTGGGACTACCCATTGGTGGGGGTATATGAAGCAAGATCCGTCGTAGGGTTCAAACGTCAGTTTCTTATCAGTGATGAAGGGAAGAACCGAAAAAAGAAGTGAAAGTTCCAAAGTAGTGCAGTGAGTGAATAAAAACAAACAGTGAAGTGTGAGTAGTCAAAGTGATACAGTGACTGAATATAAATCGAAAGTAAAGTGTGAAAACTATGTAAAGTGTACTTAGTGTATTTGTTAATAAAAAGTTGATTTGATTTATATTTTATACAATGCCCAAACTTAAAAGAGGAGGGGCTCTTGCCAGTTCTGAAGCAAAATGGCGAAAATAATGTAATCGAGACTGGTTAATAATAATAATAATCAGCACAGAGCCCAAATGGTTAGGAGTTGAAAGTTGAAATTTGGTACACAGTTAGGGTGTGTCATAAGAATGCACACTATGAAGGGATTTTTCGAAATTTCCCCTCAGTGGGAGAGGGACAGGATTAAAGCTTCGACAATGGAAATGTTAAGTAACAATGGAAATATCAACAATGAAAGTGTTAAGTAACAATGGAAATATCAACAATGAAAGTGTTAAGAATGGAAGTGTCAACAATGGAAGTGTTAAGATAAAGTGACGTGCAAGATTTACAGATGCAGATACAGTTTATTTTTCACAAAATCTTGTATAATACTTATATTTATTATATGTCTCTTCAATCCGAATGGTTAACAAACGGTAGACTTTCTTTCAGCACTGAGGTTAAGTATTCCTTTATTGTAAATTACATATGCATTTCAGGCTTGTATGAGCCCCTCTTCAGTGTTATTCTACACAAAATTTAAAAAACAAAAAATCAATTTACAAAAAATTTTTTTCCCGTGTAAATATTAACCAACATTAAATTCTTTTCCATACCTCAGATGGTTGAGTAACACTTTNATGGAAAAGAATTTAATGTTGGTTAATCTTTACACGGGAAAAAAATTTTTTGTAAATTGATTTTTTGTTTTTTAAATTTTGTGTAGAATTACACTGAAGAGGGGCTCATACAAGCCTGAAATGCATATGTAATTTACAATAAAGGAATACTTAACCTCAGTGCTGAAAGAAAGTCTACCGTTTGTTAACCATTCGGATTGAAGAGACATATAATAAATATAACAGTTTATTTTTGTTTTTGAGGGAAATCGAACATTTTTTAACTCATCTGAAAATTCTCTAATTAGTCTGGAAACGTGGCGACCTAATTCTTACATTCTTTGAAAACGGGTAAGATTGACTATAACATAATAATCTTAATATTCGCTATCGTTATTTTTTGCCCAAGCAACGCCGGACTTATCTCTTAGTTAGAAAATCTACCAGAATCTGTTTTGAAATGTCTTTTCTCATTATTTTGAAGCCATATAATTTTACAGTTGTGGATTAATAACAGGATAAACTACTTTTATGTAATAATGTTTAATTTTTAATTTTAATAATTCAGCGATTATAAAAAGTTGAACATGTTAATTAGAATAAAAAAGAATTAAAATTTTCTTTGCAAACTTTTAAAAATTGAAATTGTAATTTATTAGAATGTTCACTTCAAAATAGCGAAATAGATCAGTGAAAATCTCTAATTTAATCATTTTTCACGTTTAAAACATCACTACACAACATAAAAAATTATAAATAGTTAACATTTAAAGTAAAATGTTGGCGCCGACTTGTGGTTGGCACTAGCTTTTTACATTTTTGTTTTCCTTTAAAGCACTGTACTGCAAGTGTATTTTCCCCTCTTTCTTCCGTTAATTTCCACAACTTTGATACATAGTTTAATAATTAGTTTAACAGAAATGACATTGGGTGATTTTGGCAAATTTAGGGCTTAAAAACTGGCAACATTGATCATACCTGTAATTAGGGTTGCCACCTCATAACTTAGTCTCGCCCGGAGACGATGATTTAAGAAACAAAAAAAAACCCCCTATATGCATGCATATACAATTTTTTTATTTATATAAATTAACAAATTCAAAACTCAAGTTTCTACAAATTTAATACAATTCTAATGATCACAAAGTAGTTTCTATGCATATAACTAATAAAAAACAAATTGAACAGTTTACGTATAAAATAAATGCAGGCAAATAAATATAAAAATATGCAATATACAAAATGGTGTATGTATAATTAATTATTTATTTATGTAGATTTTTCCATGTATACTTCCTGTTTGACATTGCAGCCTTTACAAGATCTGCATTTTCTGGCTTTCTTATGAATTCAGAAAATTCTTGACAGCTCATGTCAAAATTAAGCTTTATGCATAATTCTGACTTTACTAGCTCAACCCTCATCCTGTTACGGTTGTCTGTCCAGGTATTTCCCATAATCGAAAAAATTTGTTCCACGTATGCATTACTTATAGGTATCGATAGAATCTTACCAACAAGTTTGGGTAGTTTAGTGAAAACATTAGAGGAAAATATTTTTATCCATTTTTTATCAGTTGGCAAATCGAGTGATTTGTTGGAAGGAATGATCTTTTTAAGAAGACAGATGTCATCATATAATTTATCGGCATCTAATTCTACATTTGAGTATTTTGCAGCATTTAAAAAATCTTGATATTTAAAATTTTCATACTTAAGATTAATTACTGAAAAATATTTGAATGGGCTGTTTTCAAAATTATAAAATTTTACTAAGTAATTAATAGCCTTTGTGTATACCTTTCTCGCTTCAGTCACAAATTTTTGTTTTTCATGGGTAGTTAGGAAATCTAAACTTGTATTCACTTTACTACTGAAAAATTTATCTTCTAATCTATTCTCCAGTTTGTTTTTAAGTGATAGAATTATGTCATGCAATTCTGAACTTGTTACTGATTGATTTTCAAGCTGTAAAATATGCTGATTCATCAGCCCCATAAAATGATGCACAAAGTGAATATAACATTCGGGATAAGATAAACTATCTTTAAAGTCTTGAATCTCATCTTCACTGTGCTTCACGAATTCCCAAATGATTTTGTTCGTATCTTCTTTACACAGTTGTATAAAATAAAGTTTTATTGCTGACCAGGCATTAACAATTTTTTCTAGAGCTTTATGAAGAGATAGCCATCTTGTTCTCACGTGTTGAATAATATTGTTATATTCTACAGTAGACCCCCCTATAACGCTTAGATACATTCCACGCTTACCGAAAATTACGTTGTAGGAATGATTAAATACATGAGCCAATCACAGCCCGATAGGTGGGAACTTTACGGACTAAGGCTGTTCGAAAAGTTTTCTTCTATAAAATTAACCGATTCTAGACTAATTCCACTCAGCATTTCCAAAACACGTATAATTTTTTGGGAGTAATCCGTATAAACTATGCTATAAACAAAAAATTATAGGATTACTTACCGAGTGTGTACCGTTCGACTACGCCCGTTGTTCAAAGCTTGTCTTCGTCGCGGAACAGCACACGAAACGGCGGCCGCGATTTCTGATAACGAATTTTTCGCAGAAAAATAACTTGACCTTTGGAGACATCATTAATATAAATAATTTTTATGGACGTTGAATAAGAAGTGTTTCTTTCACAAGAAATGTATAAAATTAGTGCTGTATTAGACTTACGGTACCTAATTTACATACTGTGCAGACGATAATAAACTCAACTTACTAGCCTAAAATCTCCGTAGCGTGTTGCCAGGCGGCAGAAAGCATATATATAATTATAATAAAGTTACAATAAATTAAGTTAATATATAATTATATATACAGTACCTAATTTATATATAATTAATATATAATTATATGTACAGTACCTAATTTATATATAATTTATATATAATACTAAACAGACGATAGCAAACTCAATTGAGCCGCTCCGTAGCGTGGCGCAGGGTCGGAGGAAAGTAGTTCGGCTGCTCATCCACTATTGGTCCAGACTCTATCAATCTTGTCGCGAAACGACGTTATAGGAGGTACGTTATACGAAAGTTGCTACAATTTTTTCGCTACGTTATAGGAATTTCCGTTATAGGAATGTACGTTATAGGGGGATTGACTGTAATTCCAAAAAATCAAAGCAATGTTTTAGTTCTTTAGTTTTTTAGAGCTAATAGAAAATTTGGCGTATATTTTAAATACTAAGTTTTCAACATCGAGAGATAATGACTTGCATGCATGTCTGGCTGTGTTATGTACAGTACTACAAAATGTGGCAGTTACAATTACTTTTCAAAATTCGCAGATTAAGGTCGGTCAACTTTTTGTATACAGATTTATTCTTGTCGTAATTAACAGATGCATTATCTGCAGAAATAGAACTTAAATTTGATAAACCAAGTTTATATTCTTGAAGACAATTCAATAATCTTGTAGCAATTGCCTCAGAATTTTCATTTGGATCTTTATAAAAGTCAATAATTCTGTTTTGAATTCTTTTTTCTAAATGAAAATATTGAACTGCAATCAAGAACATTTTTCTATTGCCTCTGTTAGATGCATCGTTAGCCAAAGAAAATGGAATCGCTTTGCTGTTATTGATTCCAAGTTCATCAAGAACTACTTGAATAGACTTAGGGGCTAGTATGTTTTCAACAATTGCTTCAGCTTTTGTTCTGCCACAATGAAGTTTTTTCCAGTTATAGAATCAAAATATAAGAATGAATTGATTTTCATTCCACAGTCAATGCTGTTATTGCAGCATTGTCATAACTGTGCAAAGCATAACTGTGATTATGTTTTAAGCTGTGATAATTTTGTGATAATTCTATGATTGCCACTTCTATATCATCATTATCAGGTGAGTTTGTTTTTGGAAGGAACGATGTTATTAATTTATTTTCCTTAGTACATTTTACTGCAGTCAAATGTTTCTGGCTATTACTATGAGTTTTTACCGCCTTTTCTCCATTATGTTTTAAAGTGAATTTAATATTGCAGAATAGACACAGTCCAGTAATTTTATCAATTTTTTTTAGCCATTTACAATATTCATCTCTTCGTAACCATTCATCTTTGAATGTACATTCATAGTCTAAGTGTATCTCTTTTTTAGTTGTTTCTGAAGTGCCTGATTGTTCTTGTTTGTCACTGGCTGCACATTTTTTCTTTTCATATTTATCTGAAATAAATTATTGATTGTTTGTTATGTAACGCTATTTAACCTGCTCAAGTCTGACTCTAAGTATATACTATAACTTACCATTAACTGTTTGAGGATCGCAAGGCGTGTGTGAGATGCCTGGTGGCAGTTTTTTCAGCAGCATTTTTTCAAAATTTTTCAAAACATTTCAAAAGATTCAAGTTCTGTAATTTTCAACTTGCACAACCCGGAGAAATATTAATTAACCCCGGAGCCTGGAGATAACTCACTAAATCCTGGAGTCTCCGGGTCAAACCTGGACATACTGGACATACTGTAGTTATAGTTTTGAAAATCAATTAGGTAATTCAATAGTTTAACCAATGTTAACCTGCTGACTGATAGCGTTAGCCAGGATCATTGTGCGGTCCAACTATCGTGTGGGAGTGGTAAAAACTCTCAGAGACAGGTTTGTCATCGTTATACTGTTTAATAAAAATAAAAATTTCTTACAAAATTTTCTTGAACAATGGAGTATCACCGCACAGAAAGCGAAGATTAAGTCCGGATAAAGTTCGAAAGTTCAAGTTTTCTGTTCTTTCCTTTCTGTGGAGAGAGTGAAGCAATTGTAGGCTTAGGGGCGCTTGGCACAACTTCAGGCGATTCTGGTCCTATAGACTTGGGCGGCATAGGGCGACGCGCCAAAGGAGGTTTGTTTTCATAATAATCGAAAATTTCTTTCCTATTTCTACGGAGGCACTCTCGTCCAAGATGGGAGGACAATGAACTGAGAGCATCGTCCTTGACTTTGCGTGATTTTTATAAGTTTTTTTAGGGTTGTAGATTGAACATACAGCTAAGTCGCTGTCGACTTGCCCCCCTTTTTGATTGATTTTTCACTCATTACGAAACGTAACAAAATCAGAACCCAGACCGACTGACAATTTGATCCCTATCGAAAATGTTCGATCTTAGGACTTACATTCATCTATTGTTTTAACTTGTGAAGTTCATCTTTCCTAGAAATTTCTACAGACATGTTTTTATGGACATAAAATATTCATTTTTTGTTTTTTTTTCTTATCTGATGGTTTCTTTTTACAACGTTAAATTATTATTATAATTGTTATTATTATTGAGGTTTTTTCTATACAAAGTTAAAAAAAATTTTTTTGTGCATGAATTTCTGATCCACTACTGAAGCTTCACACTTGCTTTTAATTAAAATTTAAAAAGCTGGTAAATTTTAAAAATTTAATTAAAGTACTAAAAAATTAAAATAAATTTGATTATGTTTATCATACCTACGGGGAAACAGAAAGAACTTCTATCATACCTGGACATAGGAAGCTTACCCAATCTGGAAATGGACCACCTGTTTCACCCCAGCCTCAACACCACTTTTCAGACCACCTACTTGCCACTGCATCACCCTGCTCATCTACCAGAGGTCTCAATGGGTTCCCAGACAGAGAGTTCCCTTCCATATAATATTGTCTACACAGACGATTTTAAATCTAAGACTGGGGTGGGTGCTGGTCTGCACCCACCCCAGTCTTAGATTTAAAATAATCTATAATACTCGAAATAATCAGTTCATGCACAAAGAATCCCACCGCCTGGCAGGCATCACTCAGGCTGAACTGTATGCCATTTACAGAGCCCTCAAGTACATTAATATGAGTACTAAGCTCAAGGGCAAAAACATCTATATCTGCTTGGACAGTAGAACTGCTCTCCAAAGCATATCCAGTGGTAAGCTGGGTGGCAACATTCAACAGATGATCATTCAAGAGCTAACTGGTAGCACCAGCCACATAAACTTCATGTGGACACGGGCACATTCTGGTGACACTGGTAACAAGGAGGCTGACTGCCTTGCTAGAGAGGTCTCCTCAAGTACTACTGACATTACCTTTGAAGACATCCCAATGGTGGCAATCAAGAAACTCATCTGGAACACTATGATCAACATATGGCAGCGCAACTGGGAAGAGGAAGAGACAGGAAGGACAACCTTCAGCTTCTTCCCAGACATTGCACAGAAACTACAGCTTCAACACCTCAGCATTAACTTTAGAACTACTCAATTGTTCACCAACCACAGGAATTTCCTGGTCTACCTAAACAGATTTGGGCACAGGAACTCCCCGCATTGTCAGTGCAATGGGACTTCACAACAAGACGCACAGCATCTCATATTCAACTGCAACTAATACACCCAACATAGGACAAATCTACTCAGGACAGTATTACAGGAGGGATACAACTGGCCTTGCAACCACAATGTCTTAGTTAGAAATAAGAAGATATTTAACGCACTTATAAACTTTGTTGAGTCAACAAAGGCTCTGGACCTGCAATACGACAATGAGTAAGAACATCGTCATCTAGTTCAACATGCGTTTAACATGTGTATTATGTATATCTACTTGTATGAAGTTGAGTTACAACTCTATCCGCCAAGCAGTATTTCCTGTAAACCTAATCATAATATTCACCATTTTGATATCAATATTGTAAATTTTATGGTACTAAGCCAGGTAATGTCTACTTTGTGTTAAGGAACTTATAGTCACATTTTATGTACGGACCTAAAAATCTGTGCCTCTCTTGTTTTCTTTTGTAAATATTATTTCCATATGTAACCTGTTTATGTTTAAAATGAAGTTCCTGGTGTGGCTCTTGACCTCCCCTTCCACTTCTCACTTCTCTTCCACTTTTCACCCACCTTCAGCCCCTGCCACAACAAACTTTCCCTCCGACTAACTCTTTTCACTTCTTTTACCTACTTCTTCACCTTATACCACTGAGTAATGCCTCATATCCCCCTATAAATATTGAATTATTGAAATATCTTTTGTGCGAAACAACAAAAAAACAATTTTTATAGTTATGTTGCAAAAGAGAGAGATTTGTAGTTACGATTGCTCCAGATTTCACACAGCGCAAGAGAGGAGCAATAACTTGCGCTGTGCGGAATCTGGAGCAATAACTTAAACTCAAGACGTTTTCACCTTAGCTTGAAGAAATCACGCCAATGGTTACTACAGAATAATGTGATACTCACGAGGGTGGATAAATCAAAAGAAGTGGTACTACTAAAACGTTCTAATTACAACGAGAGGCTAAAAGAATATATTACAAACACAGTCTGCCCCCGTCAATTTCTTGGATACCTTACAGCATAGAGTTAAGAGATTCACCTCCACCGCTTTAGCACGATGTTTACACGTACAGAATTCTACGATCCTTGCTCCAAGAACACCTAGATTATTTGCGTTTGCGAAGACGCATTAACCGGGTAACCAGCTACATCCAGTCATTAATAAATGTGGCTCCCCAACATTCTTGATTGAAAGCAGTTAGTTACACATCGTTTTTTGAGTTTGATAGTATATGAGATTGCTTTTAGTTTTCTTCTGTTCTAATAATGGCTAATTTTTCGACCACATTATATTGCTGTTTATGTGAAGTCAATAAAGCAATTTTATAACAGTTAGGTGTTAATCAGTAGAAATAAAACTCATTAACCTTATGTAGTCCTTGCATTTAATTGCAAAAACTGTTACAAATGTTTTCAGTCCATATCCATGACCTTCCTCAGGTAGATTTTTTTAAAAAATTGAATTCCTCCAGTGCTGGCATTCCAGCTTTGAATGCATAGAAGATTCTGATGTATTCAAATTCAAACACGTTAAAACGTTTTCTTTTGTTGAATATCCAATAGCATGCATTTATAGCCTTTGCATTGCTTACTATAATGTCAGGTTAAATATAGCCTACCATTCTCTTAAGATTTATTTATTTTTTCTTTAAAATGAATAGGCCTATCTATCCATTTTAAATAATGAACAATTATTTATTGTGACATTGTTATAATGCCAGGCTGCAATTTTTCACACAGTGGACTTAAGTTCAGTAGTGTCTTGCCTTCATACATCATACTTTTTCTGTTAACAATGAAGGCGTGCTAGTCATGTATCTCACTCTGTTGAGGAGGAAATTATTTAATTGAAATAACATCATTTCTGGCTAAAAGTGGAAGTTTGTATATAGTTAATTGGAGTCTCCTGCTGCTAAGCTTTTCATATCTGGTCTCGACTTTTATCTATCTAACACTGTTCTCGAGATTAAGGAAGGACTGACAGACAACAGTGGGAATTTATTGGTCTACAATTTTTTCAAATTGCAGCCCAAAAACAAATCTCAAGGGCATGTTAAGCTATATTTGACTCAACATTATAGTAAGCAATGCAGGGGCTATGAATAGATGCATCCTATTGGATATTTAGTAAAAGAAACAATTTTAAAAAGAAAACATTCAAATTTGAATACATCAGAATCTTCTATGCGTTTCAAGCTGAATGCCAGCACTGGCGGGATTCAATTAT